TTTTAATATGTTTTGCCTGCGATGGAAACTGCAAGTTAATGTTGGTTCAACAGAAATGTTCAGTGAGTTTATGAAAACATCCTGACCCCCGGCATTAAAAAAATTAGACGTCTGAGGAAGGATGTTTGAGCTCCTGGGGTTGTGGATCAAAGCTGCTGTGAATCAGATGAAACCAAACACAGATGCTTTTTTACCCTCTTTGTTGAATTACAGAAATTTTTAATGCTTCCTTACACCCACATAAGTACAAACCCCAGAAACAAGTCCTACGCTATATCCACATTGAAATTTTTTTGAGTGGTCGCTCGTATTATAATTCAAATGCAATCTCCATAAGACTCAAGTGTGAACAGTCCATGGCCCTGAAGCAAGGCGAATGCACAAGTCGACGTGACATCACATGCAGCAAGCTGTGTTGATCAAAGTAAATATGAATGTTACACATTAGCATGTGTATCAATTCTGAAGTTGTACAATTAAGGCAATTAAATTATTATCTGCTATGCTTGTTTTGTTCAATGTTTACGTTTGATATTGCCAATTCCCATTCATTCGGGTGAAGAAATGCACTTCTCAAACAGGAACGACATGCTGAAAGTAAAAAAGTATAGTACTATACCACTGTTAGCATTTATTTACTTACCATTATTTAACAAGGCAGATCCTATTGGTGGCCTGGGCTTGAAGGTAACCTATTGCATGTATTTTTGTGCTGTGGGGAAAACCCAAGAACCCTGAGAAAACCCACACAAGCACAAGGAGAACATGAAAACTCTGCACAGAAAGACCCCCAGGTCCAAACCGGTAATKGAACCCAGGACCTTCTTGCTGTGAGGCGTTTATGCTAACCATTGAGCCAGTGTGCTGCCCATCATATGTTGATCTGCATTCTCCGTCACCCAGAACATGACAAATCTAGCAAGTTTTAAAAATTTGAGCCAACTGGACTTCTGTTCTGTAGCTGAAGACATGTCATGTTCCAAGCTCTAAAGTGCATGACATTTGTGTCAATAATATCAATATCTGAAATGATCTCTGTACCCCTAACTTAGTGATGCAAAAGTAAAATTAAATGCCATGACAGGACTGACATGACATGACATACTGCAGTTGAGTTGAAAAACATCAGATATGTATCTAATGTATTACCACTTGAAAAATCCTAGGCCAGATTTGTAAAAAAAAACAGATCTGTCATATTCAGGCCACCACAAAGCAATTTAATATGGGTTGCATATGGGGGGGGAAATGGATTTAGGACACTTGCCTGCATTTTGAACAAAGCCTTAGTCTTTTAAAAAGCATTTTCAGGCGAAACAGTTTAAATTACTTTTAGAGGGAAAGACTGCCTCTTAGTATGCCTAAAGAGTGGTTGTAAGGACATACAGGTTTGCTTTTACACTGCCTGAGGATCATTTTTACCAAACATTCAACTGATGCTCAGAGTGGCCTCTTATGTACAGCGGGTAAAATAAGTATTGAACATGTCACCATTTTTCTCAGTAAATATTTTACTAGAGGTGCTAATGACATGAAATTTTCACCAGATGTTGGTAACAACCCAAGTGATCCATACATACAAAGAAATCAAACCATAAATGTCAGAAATGAAGTTATTTGTAATAATTAATGTGGAATGGCACAGGGAAAAAGTATTGAACACATGAAAAAAGGGAGGTGTAAAAAGGCATGGAAAGCCAAGACACCAGCTGAACTCTCTCAGTAATTAGAAAGCATTTCTGACAGAGGAGTGAAAAGAATTATCAGAAGAGTTGTCCAAGAGCCAAGGACCACTTGTGGAG